TGACAAAAGGCAGAAACATGAAGAGACAATATTAAAGTAATTTTAAAAGGTGCTTAAAAGTCAACCATCTTATTACCAAAGGCCTCAGGCCTGTTTAATTTTATGGATGCCATCTATCAAATATTCACAAAACAGTAGTTCTTATGTGATTTAAACTGGCCCAGAGCAGCCAAAAACAAAACAAAACAACAAAATCCTTCTTAACTCACTGTAGGTTAATATATTTCATAAATCAGAAAAGGACAAGAACAGCACATAAGCAAAGTATACACAAACTACCACATATTTTAAGGGGAAAAAAAAGAACAAAAAAGTAAAACAAAAACAAGGAAAAATTATCTACCAATATTCCTTATCAATATAAGCAAAAATCTTAAGTGAAATATTAGCGAACCAGCAGTGGTAGAGCAACAGGAGTGGAAAAGAGAGAGAGAATGAGAGAGAAATTAAAAGTTCATTTGGTTAATCAGGTTCAGTCACTCTCAGGGACCCTCAGTCCTCTGAACTAATTGCTAGATGCAACATGCTTAGAGAGATCCAATTTGGATGCCAGTCTTGGGGCTTCCAGAACCCTGAATTCTAACAGCCCAATGTGGAGGTGTGTACTTGTGGTCCAAACTACTCAGAAGGCCGAGGCAGGAGGATTACTTGAACTCTGGAGTTCACGGACAGCCTCAGCAATATGGTGAGACTCTGTCTTTAAAACAGAACAAAACAAACAAATAAAAATAATAATGGTTCAGCATTAGGAATTTTATTAATGTACTGGCAGGAAAAAGTGGATACAGTAAAACAGTATTTCCTATCAAAGCTGTTCAAAAGCTGGAAATAGAAACTTAACCTTGCAAGAGATTCCACTCCAGTAAAAGCACTTTCATTAATATCAGAAAGAGGACAACTATGATCACAGCTATTATTCCACAATGTGCTAGGGTTAGTTCCTTTCTGTAATACAGAGAACTGAAGGTCTCCAAACTCGTTTCCCAGACTCTACCAGCTCTTAGGTTCTGCCTACAAGAGGTGGTGGTAGGATGTTGGAATGTGGGAGAAACAGAGGCACCTTTGCCTCTCAGAACAGGCAGCTCAGACAACTGCAGTCGCAGTGGCACTGGGAGAGTCTGGCTGCCTGCTCAGGAGTGGATTCTGACAGTGGCCATTGCAGCTTCACTCAGCTCTGGCTGTCGCAGCAGTACCAGCAGCAGCAGCTCCAGGAACCTCAGCTGTTGAGAGCTTGTGGGTCCTTGCTCCTCTGGCCATTGCTAACCTTAGACATCCGTACGTAGTCAGCCGGGGCACTGGCTCCTAGCTTCCTGTCTCATGACGGCAAATGTCCCAACAGCCACCTCAGAGGGTCAGAAATGGCTGTCCCTGGGGAAAACTATATTTTCTTTTATTCTTCCAACCTGAAGACGGGGAACAGTTTTCTTATTAATTTTGGGTAATCTCACATGTTCCCATTTTGCTCATAGTTAACTCTTCCAATGTATTTGTAACCAATTTTTTTATGTGTGTTAAATTATCTGAAATAACTGAAGGGGAAACTGTATTTGTGATTAGATGTTGATTGATACAAAGCATATATACAAATATTTTGCAGATTATGTTTTTACAATATATATATACCTACAAGAATCAGTGTGCAGTAAAGGAACAGGAAAAAAAAAGTAAATAAGCAAAATTAATAGCTTTCACCTGTATGGTGGTGCATCTCAACAACTCAGGAGGCTGAGGCAGTAGGATCACAAGCTAAAGACCAGACTAAGCAATGTAGTGAGGCCTTGTCTCAAAATAAAAAATAAAAAGGACTGGGGATATAGCTCAGTGGCAAAAAGCTTCAGGGTTCAATTTCAGTATCAAAAAAAAAAAAAAGTTTTTTATAAACAATATTAAAAAACCTCACTCACAAGTGTATAAAAACCATAAAGCATTTTTAAAAAGCCTAATGAGAAATATGCATGACTATATAAAGGAAAACTTTAGAAATATTGTGAAACATATACAATAAAAGCTATATGCATAAAAGAAAGGAAGCAGGCCTATGTTGATCTTATTGTATGTTAGTGCATAAGCAGGGGGATGATGGATAAACTAAAATGTTTGTATTTTGGTTAGAAAGAATAAAAAAATGAATGAGACCCACCATAAAAATATCTTTATGACTTAGTATTTTTTTAATAACCAAAAAAAAGATTTTGTATTAGTCTGTGAGAGAGAGAATTTTTTAAATATATTTTTTTTAGTTTTCGGTGGACACAACATCTTTGTTTGTTTGTGGTGCTGAGGATCGAACCCGGGCCACATGCATGGCAGGCGAGCGCACTACCGCCTGAGCCACATCCCCAGCCTATTAGTCTGTTTTCTTTTATCACAATGAAATGCCTGAGGATGGGTAACTTTTATAAAGAAAAGAGGCTTATTTAGCTCAGTTTTGAAAGTTTGCTAGATTTTGGACCTGGAGTGTGTCTCAAGGGTTCATGTGCTAAAGGCTTGGACCCCAATGTAGCATTGTTCACATGTGCTACTTTTGGGATGTAACTGGCTCATGAGGGCTCTGATCTCATTCAAGGGACTAGTCCAGTGTCAGATCATAATTTAATGGGCTATTGGGAGGTGGTAGGAACTGCAGGCGGCAGAGCATGGTTGGAGGAAGGTCACTGGGGATGTGACCTGGAGTGGTGTATCTTGCCCCAGGCCCTTCATTCCCGGCTTTCTCTGCTTCTCAGCCTTGTGGTGGGCAGCTTTGTTTGGCTGGGCCTGTCCAGAATGATGCTGTGCCTTACTCCAGGCCCAGGGAATGGAGCCAGCCAAGCATAAACTAAAACCTCCAACACCATGAACCCAGATGAATCTTTCTTCCCTTAGGTTGTATTTCTCAGTTATTTTGTCATAGTGACAAAGAAGTGACTAACACAAGGTTCAAGGACGTGGCCCTGCCACTGGCTTAGCTTAGCTCTGGCGAGGCCCTTTTGGCTGTGCATACAAGGTGGAAAGTTAAAGTTGCCTTTCCCCCACAATCTAACCTCCTGTTAAAGAATAAAAATTGTTACTCTGTACCTCTCTGCACTTTTCTTTGTACTTTTATGTAATATAAAGAGAATTTGTGTGTCTTGTCTGCAGAAATTTTGTTTGAATTTTTAAAAATAAAATTTAAAACACCTGCTATGGTTTGGATGTGATTTTTCCTCAAAGGTTACTGGAGCCTTGGTCCTCAGCTTGGAGTGGGACCTTCAAAGGGTAGGGCTTAGTGGGAGGTCTTTAGGTTACTGGGGGTGTGCCCTTGAAAGGGAAAGCAGGTCTCCTGGAGGCAGTTCCCAGGAGAGTGACTTTTTATAACTCTCTCTTTGGCTTTCTGTCTGGCAGTGTGATCTCTCACTCAAAAACAAAACAAAACAAAAAACAAAAAACACCCCAGAAAAGCCAGGTTGTTTCCCCACCCCTCTGTGTCTGTTTCTGTGCAATCCTTCAGGAGACAGCTGGGACAACCTGTTTTGAAATCTTTCTAACTTGCTTATTTTACCCTGTACCACATTCTTGCCATTCCTGGGCACAACAGGAAGAGCAAGCCCCTTCTGCAGGCTCACTTCTGAATTTTTTCTACATTTTCTCACCCTTGACCCAGGCTTCTGCTCTTTCCCATTCTCCCTAACTTGACCATTAGCCCCTTTTTCTGACCAAAAACACCCCCCCCCAAAAAAAAGTCATTAAACGCCCTGAAGAATGTTCCTCTGCTTTTTGATCTGACTGAATCCTTGATCTGATCACTACCCTTCACAGGTCTCTCTCTGCCAGTGTTCTTAACATCACCATTGAGGGACTGCAGCTTTCATTTGGGGGTCCTGCCATCCCCATAGATGTCTTATGTTTCTATAAGGAGAACCTTTCATTTGTTCTATTTCCTCATCGCCTGTTCACTTGTTCCAGGGTTGAGGACTTCCAGGAAACCGAGGCAGTGCAAAGGCCCCTTCACACCCCTGTTCTTGCAATCAGATTTCAGACATGTTGCTCACAGTAACAGGCAATGAATGAGTTTATCAGAAAGGATGGGAGAGGGGAGAAGGGGACATGGTGAAGGGACAGAGTGGGTCCTCTCAGAGAGGAGAGGAATAAGTGCCTCTCCTGCACTCCAGTTTTATTGGGGAATCCCAGAGAAGTTTCCAGATAGTCTCACCCAGGTCCACCTCTTGACTTTTGACTGACATCAGGATGACATCACTTTCAAGTGCCTGCTGCCATGACAACTCTAGGTCACTTTGGCCCATGCTGAAAGGTTCTAACTGGATTCTGAGCCATAAATTCTTACACATTTTATGACTAGGAGGAATTATCCTTATCTCTGGGAGTTTTGGGATTTGGCCTATGAATAGGGTCTCTTACCGACATTATTTTGATTCTTCATTTCCCTGCAGATAACAGAAGAGTAAGTAAGCCAACATATCCTGTTCACTTAAGCCAAGGATGGTACAGTTAAATTGCTTCTTGAAAAAGAAAGTATTGAATTTATAGAATTATTTCCTTACCTCGTGTTCCCACCACTGGCCTGTCTGCCCCATCAAACCTGTGAGGTCTTTGCACACTCTTCCCACTGTGTGGGGCCCTGCCCTCCTGGTGGACTTCCCCAGCTTCTCACCTCTCCCTTCAACTCCATCCCTCCCCTATCCATCCTTCCTGTCCAAATCCAGCAGCTCCGAGTCTCTACGTGTTTGGGGGAGAAACTTCCATAGCTGGCCTAAATAAATTGAAGGCTGTGGATGATATTTTTCACCTTTTCATTTTCTAAAATCGCACTAATATCCAAGCTTTCGCACTGCTCTCACCGCAGGCTCTAGGCACCTTCCAGAGGCAGGCTCTGTCTCGCGTCCGTCACGGGGGCGTGGCCAGCGAGACGGGGGCGTGGCCCACGCGACGGGGGCGTGGCGAGGGGCGGCCCAGCGTGGGGCGAGGTGAGCTAGCCGAGCTCGAGGTGATCGAGCGGGGGGGGCGGGGCGAGCGGGCCGAAGGAGGCGCCTCGGCGGCTAGGTCCCCGAGCCTGCGGGCCACGCGCCGCCGCCGCCGTCGCCCTCTTCGGAGGCGGGAGGGGCTGGTGGAGGAGGCGCGTCGTCGGAAGCCATGTTTGTGGCGCGCAGCATCGCGGCGGACCACAAGGATCTCATCCACGATGTCTCTTTCGACTTCCACGGACGGCGGATGGCCACCTGCTCCAGCGACCAGAGCGTCAAGGTGCGCGCGGCGCCTCGTCCGGCGGGAGAGGGAGGGAGACCGGCGTGGAGAAAGGGGACTTGTCCCAACTCTAGGGCACAGCACCCAGCTCGAGGCCCGGAGCTCCCCGGGCGGCGGGCGGGTTGCGTGGGGGTCCGGACGTGGCGAAGGCCCTCCGCGCCCGGTATTGTGGGGTCGCGGCCGCGCCGTAGGCCTGCGCTCCGTCCTTGGGCTTCCGGCGCGCCTGCTCAGGCCGCCACGTGCGCGCTCCCGCCGCAGGGCGCCGCGGCGCAGGCGTGGCCCGCGCTTCCGGCGTCAGGGGGCGGCCTCGGAGCGGGGAGGCCGGGCCTGGGCTGGCGCTCTCCCCGCTGCAGTAGCGAGGGCCCCCCGTGGAGAGTCTCCACTGCCGTGGCCCTCACCTGGGGACCTGGTCCTCAGCGAGTTTCGGATCAGTGCTCGCTTTGTTTCCCAAGAAAGAAACGTGAAAAGCCACTTGCAGTCCCAGCCACGGTCCCTCCTGGGGTCCAGAGTTGTAGTGTTTCACCACGTTCCCTGAACACCGTTCTCAGAGTCCGCAGGGCTAGGAGACGCGGACAGCGTCTGGGACTTGGGACCCTGGAGATCAAGGGTACTGTCCTGGAGATGAAAGGTGGAGCGTGGGTTATTTGCATTCTGGACAGCTCCAGAGCGCCTGGAAATCTAAGGACGGCTTTTCCTCCTTTTTCGCCTTCAAGTTTGATACCAGTGATCTCTTGAAGGTCAAATTGTAACACCCAGTTACCTATCGAGGAGCCAGTGTTGCAGTACTGGAACGGTCTAGTGTCACTGGGAGAAGTATCTATGTGGTTAACAATATAACCATTTCAAGGCGTGCAGTTTGGTGACATTAAACAGCGTTCCCGTTGTGCAGCCGCTGTCGATGCAGAAGCTCTCCATCATCCTGCCAGGAGCTCGGCTCCCAGCAACTCCTTCCTCCCCAGCCCTCACCCCCGGTAACCTCCCTTCTGCTTCATGAACTTGCCTATTCTGGGTGTCTCATATAAATGGAATCATAGTCTTTATGTCTGATGTATTTCATAACATAGTATTGTCAAGGTTCATCTATATTGTAGCATATGTCAGAACTTCATTCCTTTTTAAAACTGAATAATAATTTGTTGTGTGTATTTATCACATTTCCCTTACTCATTTCATCCATCCACTTTTTGTCTATTGTGAATGTGGCTGCTGTGAATATTGATGTGCAACTATCTCCTAGTTCCTGTTTTCCTGTTTTGGGTATACATTCTCATGTATATAGCTGTCATAAATTGGATGATATGAATAATGTAGGCATATCGATTAAATATATAGGGGAGAGAGTTTATGCTCTGTATGACAGCCTCAGAATAAAACAGACAGCCCTTGTTTTATTGATTTATAAAAGGTTGTGTGGGAATGGTGTTATTTTTACAGAAAGTCTTAACTGAGAATAACAAAGTACAGGGGTTTATATTTCATGAGTTTTTAGGTGTTTTTTTTTTTTTTCCCTTTTCATTATTTTCTGGCCTAATACCCATTTTTTTCCAGAATACTTTTTTTCTACTAAAGAGCCATATAAATATACACACATATAATTTATTTGTGAAAATGATATATTTCACTTTTAGAAATGTTACTTATAGCTGCGTGCAGTGTGGCACATGCCTGTGATCCCAGCTGCTCAGGACTCTGAATCAGGAGGATCACAAGTTCAAAGTTAGCTTCAGTAACTTAGGCCCTAAGCAACTTAGTTAGACCCTGTCTCAAAATATAAAAAGGGTCCAGTAGTTAGCATTTCTGGATTCAATTCTTGGCACCAAAAAAAAAAAAAAAAAAAAAAGAAGTGTTACTTATAGTTTCATTGCTATCTCAACACTTGTTAATATTTATTGGTAGTCTCTGTTCTTTTGATATTTTAAAAAATTAATGTAAAAAAATTTTTTTTCCATTATTGCTGCACTGTTTCAACAATTACCATTCCTAATGGCATAAGTAATATCTGTTAACTGAACAGACCATACAGTTTTTTCATCATCTGCTTAGTACTGGATCTTTTAGTTGATCCTTCAGTTTGTAGGTTGTCTGTCAGATGTCAATAAAAACTTCATTAACTTAGCATATTATATATTTTGAATTATTTCTTTAGTCTAATTCCAGAAGAGAAGTTAGCAAATATTTTAAAAGCTTTTAAAAATTACTGGAAAATTGCCTTTTTGCACCTTGTTTTTTCTCCCCCTGTAGTGCTGGGGCTCAGATCTAGGGCCTGGCACATGCTAAGTAAACCCTAAGCTACATTCCCAACCCACATTACATTTCTAGGGTGAGTATTGATTTGATAGAATCATTGCCTGTGTTGAGTATTACCATTAAATTTCTTTTTTTTAATATATATTTTTTAGTTGTAGATGGACATTTTGTATTATTTATTTTTATGTGGTGCTGAGGATTGAACCCTGTGCTTCTTCACACATGCTAGGCAAGTGCTCTACCACTGAGTTTACAACCTCAATCTCCCATTACATTTTTTTCACAGGTTAAATTGGCACTTTTTTTTTTTTTTTCAAACTAATCTATAACTTTAGGATATAATAAAATTCAATATTTTACTTTAACTTTTGTTATATAAACAGTTGATCCATGTTATTTATGGAATCTTTATTTGTGAATTTTCTTATTAACTAAAATTTATTTGTACCCACTTGTGCTTTTCCAGTCATTTACAGACTTGTAGAATGGTAAAATGTTTAAATTCCTAGACACACTGTTTCAGCTGAGGTAGAACAAGGTGACAGACACTTTGTGTTTTGACTCACTATGAACAAATTCTTAGTATGTTCCTTTAGTGCCATGATTTTTGTGTGTCTTGTTCTTTATTAGTGATATTATAGCCTGAAATGGTGTAGTGCTGAAGTGCTGCTTACTGTTCCTAAGCGCAGGCAGGCTGTGACAAGCCTTACAAAGAAAAGCCTCCCTCAGGCCCACATTGCAGTGTTTTTGCCGGCAAGAGCAATGTGATGAATCAACAATGTGTTTTGATTAGTTGATGAAAATGTTAGACTAGAGGCAAGCAGAAGCCTGACCCTGCATTTCCCTTAGGAGCAGTGATGCAGAAGTCAAGGCAACTTTACAGAATATAACTACTGTAATGAGAACAGAGGGCCCAGGGTGTAGCATAGTGGCAGAGTGCTGGCCTAGAGTGCATAAGACTCTGGGTTCAATCTTCGGCACATCAACAAAAAGGAAAAAAAAAAAGAAAATTGACTGTAACGGTAATTGTCTCTGTTACCTGTTAGAGCTTGGGTTCCTGGATCTCTCAGTCTTGCTTGGCCCAGTGCCTGACACATTCAAGGTTCTTAATCAATAGTTGATTGAAGGAACATTTTCTTAATGGTTTTATTCTTTTGTGAAGTTTATTTTCCCCTCTTTGCCTGGACACTGATTCAGTCATATAGCTTATTTGTGGAAATTCTTTGCATAAAATATCTGCCTTTTGTTTTTCATAGGTCTGGGATAAAAGTGAAAGTGGAGATTGGCATTGTACTGCTAGCTGGAAGGTAAGTATTTAATTTCTGTGAAAATATAGCAATTAAAAAAATGAAATAGCTGAGCGTAGTAGTATATACACCTGTAATCCCAACAGCTTGGGAGGCTGAAGCAGGAGGATTATGAAGCAGAAGGATCTCAAGTTCAAGGCCAGCCTCAGCAACTTAGTGAGGCCCTAAGTGAGTGAGACCCTGTCTCTAAATAAAATACAAAATAGGGCTGAGGATGTGGCTCAGGGTCAAGTGCCCCTGAGTTCAGTCTCTGGCAACCCCCACCCCAAAACAGAAAATTGCTGGGAATATGGCTCAGTGGTTAAGTGCCCCTGGGTCCAATCCCTAGTACCAAAAAAAAAAAAAGAAAGAAAGAAAAAGAAAAAGAAATATTTACTATTTGGTTGTATCAATGAATTGCTGTTCAATTTTGGGAAAATTATAAAATTTATGCATAGTTCTTTTCCTGGAAATATATTTTATTCATTTTTTACTATTAAAGTAATAGAAATATGTTTTGCAATACATGTTTATTTTTTGTAATTACATAGTCAGGAATGAGAATAAGGATTTTTTGTTCATCACAGGAACATTGCTGGCTTTTGTTCCTGTGGCGAGCAAATGCATCCCCATAACCTCTAGAATTAAAAGTCAAATACAAACGAAGCATGTTTGATATCTCTCATTAATAGAACATTATTTAGTGACACAACTCTATAGAGAAAAGTCAGGTTATTCAACTCAAAAAATAACTTAAATTTAGGGCTGCAATGTAGAAACCTGTGGAATGAAATTCTGTCTGAAAAAGATATTTTTGGTTAGCATTTACAGGTGGGCATTTTAAAAATGCAGGCTCTGAGTAGCTCCGGTAGAAATCTAGAAATATGCTTTGGAGAATTTTTTTTTTTTAAGTTATAGATGGACACAATATCTTTATTTTATTTTTATGTGATAGTGAGGATCGAACCCAGTGCCTTACACGTGCTAGGCAAGGGCTCTACCACTGAGTTAAAACCCCAGCCCTCAGAGAATTTAGGAATAAGAAAATCTGTAATTCTGTTTCATTCTACATGAGTAGTATTAGCATTTCAGCATATTTCTTTACCTTTCTCCTTGACATATATTTTCTTAAAAATATTTTAGTTGTATATGGATATAACACCTTTATTTTATTTATTTTTAAAAATATTTATTTTTTAGTTGTAGTTGGGCACAATATATTTTATTAATTTATTTTTATGTGGTGCTGAGGATCGAACCCAGGTCCTCACATGTGCTAGGTGAGCGCTCTACCACTAAGCCACAACCCCAGCCCAATATTTATTTGGTTTTATGTGGTACTGAGGATCCAACCCAGTGCCTCACATGTGCTAGGCCAGAACTCTACCTCTGAGCCTACAACCCCAGCCCCTGACATATTTTTAATAGTTGTGATGTTTTATATGTAGTTTTCTTACTTTTATTTATTTATTTATTTATTTTGGTACTGAGAATTAAACCCAGGGTTGCTTTACCACTGAGGTATGTCACCAGCTCTCTTTATTTTTTATTTTGAGACAGGGTCTTGCTAAATAGCTGGGGTCTTGCTAAATTTCTGAGGCTGGCCTTGAACTTGAGATCCTTCTGCTTCAGCCTTTGAGTCACTGAGATTATAGGTGTGAGCTATCGTACCTGGCTTAGTTTTATTTCTTGATTTTTTTTTTTTAATTGATTTTTCAATTAAAGCACCTTTAGCTGGAGATGGTGGAATATCTCTGTAATCTCAGCTGCTTGGGAAGCCAAGCAGTAGGACTGCAAGTTTGAGGCCAGCCTGGGCAACATAGCAAGACCCTATCTCAAAAATTAAAAAAGGGCTGGAGGTTTAGCTCAGTGGTAGAGGACTTGCCTAGCATGCTTGAGGTCCCAAGTGCAATCTCCAGTACTGTAGAAAAAAAATAATAATAAAAATGAAAACACCTTTGGGGCTGGGGATGTGGCTCAAGCGGTAGCACGCTTGCCTGGCATGCGTGCGGCCCGGGTTCGATCCTCAGCACCACATACAAACAAAGATGTTGTGTCCGCCGAAAACTAAAAAAAAAAAAAAAAAAAAAAAATGAAAACACCTTTACTCAAGAGTTTTTCATAACTTAAAGGGTCATCAGTTTTAAATGTACAGTTCAGTGAGATTTAGTAAATTTAAATGAATGTGCAGGCATCATCACAGTCCTGCTTTAGGATACTTCATTAGCTTAGAAATTTCCCTTTGCCCATTTACAATTAGTCCCTAGTCCCATTTCAGACTCCCAGCAACTGCTGATCTACAGTTTCATCTTTCCTAGAAATTTCATGTACATGGAATCTTTAAATATTTAGTTCTTGGGCTGGGGATGTAGGTCAAGCGGTAGCGCGCTCGCCTGGCATGCGTGCGGCCCGGGTTCGACCCTCAGCACCACATACTAACAAAGATGTTGTGTCTGCCAGAAAAATAAAATAAATAAATATTTAAATAAATAAATAAATAAATATTTAGTTCTTGGTGGGTAACTGCTTTCCCTTAGCATGTTGAGGTTCATCTGCATTATGTAGTGTCAGTAATTTGTTCCTTTTAAAGCTGAATAGTCGATGGTGTAAATATGCTACATTTTGTTTATCTAATGATCAGCTGATGAACATTTGAATTGTTTTTAGTTTTTGTCTGTCATGAATAATTTATATTATTCAACACAACACATAACAAAACACCTAAAGTAATAATAAGAGAAAAATTGCATGACTGGTGTGACTATTGTATACAGCCAGAGGAATGAGAAGTTATCCTCCATTTGTGTACAATGTGTCAAAATGCATTCTCCTGTCAGGTATAACTAGTTAGAACAAAAAAGAGAGAAAAGTAACTGGCTCCCTTTACTTGTTGGTTGGTCCATTGTTTTTGGGCCTGTGGTGAGGCAGTAGATCATGGCACGGAAATGTATTGGAGCACAGCCATGTGGCCAGGGAGCAAATTGAGAGAGAAGGGGTTGTCCTCCAGGGCACACCTTCAGTGACAGAAGGGCCATACACCAGGCCTCACCTCTTAAAGTTCCACTGCTTCCTAGTAGCACCTCTGAGGGAACAGGCTTCCAGCACATGGGCTTTTGGGGATGTTTGAGATCTAGACTACCGTAGTGTTGTTAAGAACGTGCCATGCAGGACTTTGTTTGGACATATGTTTTCATTTCTCCTGAGTAGATGTTTAGGGTTTATTTCTCTTGAGCAGATGCTAGGCTGTATATGTTTAACTTTATTAGCTGCCAAATCTTCCAAAGTGACTGTGTCATTTTATATTCCCACAAATGATATATGAAGGTTATAGTTTCTACGTTTTTTCCTACAGTTGATATTATTGTTGTTGTTGTTATTATTATTATTACTTGTTTTGGGGGGGAATGGGGTCTCATTGAATTGCCTTAGGCTGGCCTCAAATTGTCAGTCCTTCTGCCTCAGCCTCCCAGTATCTGGGATTACAGGCAGGTACTGCAGTACCCATCTTCTCTTTTATTATTAGCTTTTTTTAGTGGGCATGAAGTGCTATCTCATTGGAGATACACACATACACACACACACACACACACACACTTTAATGTGGTTCTGGGGATTGAACCCAAGGGCTTGAGCATGCTAGGCCAGTGCTCTACCACCAAGGTACATCCTCAGACCTTTTCCTATTTTATTTTGAGACAGGGTCTTACTAAGTTGTCCAGACTGATCTTGAATTTGTCATTCTCCTGCCTTACCTCCTGAGTCTCTGGGATTTTAGTCTAACAATATATTTTAAAAATACTTCCCTATGTTTTTAAAGGCTGTATAAATAATAAATATTACCTGTTTTGCTTAACTGATGAATTTTTTTTATTGTGAATATTTTTGTACACACTTTATTCTTTAGTTAGATGTGTTTATTAGGAACCTAACATTTAATAAAATCCTCTGTGTTAGTGCATTTTTTCCAAAATAACTCTGAATGAGAATTGAAGGTGAAGCATAAAGGACTAGAGCAAGCTGGATGAGAAGGGTGCAGAGTGTACCATTGCTGTTACCATGTAGCTGTTCTTCTGCTACTGTCTGTAGAAAGTGCATGAGTAGACCCAGCCTACCTGACATCCTTGCTTGGCTGCGAGTGTCCTGTAAACTGTCTGTTATCTCCTTTCTGGATGGTGTGGCTGACTGGTAACTGTATTGTCTTAAGAGGCTGATGTTGTGTGTTGTTTTTTCGGGAAAAGATCAAACCTCACAGTTTGAAGTATCAGTTTGAACCATTGTAGGTTGATGAACATCTGTATTTTCTCAGGGTCCAAGGATTTCAATTTCTCATATTTAACCAGATATCAGTTAGAATCATTTAAACATTTTATTGTTACAGTCTTTATATACTGTTAGTCTTTTGAATCAAGTTTATTATCATTGCTAATATTATTATTGTACTGGGGATTGAACCTGGCTTTTCTAAGTCACATCCGAGGTCCTTTCTTTCGCACATGCTAGACAAGCACTTTACCACTAAGCTACACAGCCAGCCTCAAATAATTCTTTTTAAACCAGAATAGTGGTTTTCTTTATTGTTATAATCTGTATGTCATAATATTTACCCATTTAAAAAGTATACAATTCAGGGAGGCTGAGGGTATAGCTTAGTGGCAGAGCACTTGGCTAGCATGAAATAGGCTTTGGGTTCTATCCTCATTACCACAAAGAAGAAGGAAAAAAACCTTTAACAAGTGTAAATTTAGAGATAGTCAGAATTCTGCACCTATCACCACTTGATAATTCCAGTCCATCTTCATCATCTCAAGAAACCCTGTGTAGTAGCCACTTCCTATTCTGCCCTTTCCCAGCCCTTGGTAACTGCTGATCTACTTTCTGTTTCTATGGATTGTGTAGCAGATAATTTTGGTTAATCCCATTTTATTTATTAGGCTGATGTGTCTGTAGAAAGAATTGGTAAGTAAAAAATTGTGGACTGGTGGAATCTGTTTCTAAGCTTCATAAAGCCAACCTCTGAAGCAAGACTGCTGCTATGGACACAGGAAACAGTGAACTTTATCCAGTTGGGTTTGTCTTTATTAGTAAAATATTAGGAAAACAACTTTAGGGGCCACTGTTCCAAGTAGAGAATATCTTCTAAAGGTTAAAAAATTCTAGAACTTAACTTTTTATTAAAATATTAAATAGACTAGCTTTTTCCTCTTACTAAAGTAAAAGTATCTATTGTTTTCTCAAGTAAAGCCTTGTCAAACTTTGTATGACATATGAATTAACTATGCTTTTTTTTTTTTTTTTTAAACACCCCAGACCCATAGTGGATCGGTGTGGCGTGTGACGTGGGCCCATCCTGAATTTGGACAGGTTTTGGCTTCCTGTTCTTTTGACCGAACAGCTGCTGTATGGGAAGAAATAGTAGGAGAATCCAATGACAAACTGCGAGGACAGAGTCATTGGGTAAGACTCCTGGTAGTGTTCCTGGGTTGGGGACATACGAGACCACCTTTTAAGAATATCTCGGGTACTTGATAAAACCCGACCCCTTCCTCTATATTTACCAGTTCCACTGTCTTTTCTTCTGTGTTTTTCTCCTACTTGTTTATTTAATTTTGTCTTAGGCCTGAAATGATACTTAGGAGCACTTCTGGCATTAATTATAATTATGATGATGAAGCCAGAGTACTTGATTAATGTTTTGATTTTGCACTTCATATGGTAATTAGTATATAACTTTTCCCAAACTCTAAAATCTTTGAAAATTTGTTTTTTCTATTTTGTGGTTACGTGTGTGTGTGTGTGTGTGTGTGTGTGTGTGTGTTGTTGTGTGTTTGATGCTGGGGATTGAATCTAGGTCCTTACTTGTGATAAGTGTGTGCTTTACCACTAAGCCACACCCCTAGGTCCTCTCTCTCTTGTGGTTGCTTTCGCTCTGCAAAATATACTCTCTTTTATGTGCATCAATTAAATTCTAACTCTGCCTTGATTGGACAATTGATTTTGGACAAGAACATAATCTGTGGGCTACTTAATAAGTTCCTCAGTCTGTTAGAAAGTTGAACAACAACAACAACAACAACAAAATAGAAAATAAGTGTTGGAGCCGTCTTAGAGAATATGAAGTGGTATCTCATTATGTTTTTTTTTTTCATTTTCCTAATGATTAATGATGTTGATAATCTTTTCATGTACTTGTTGGCTAATTGTATATCTTACAGAGGGAAATATTTGTCAAATCCTTTGCCCATTTTTTAATTGAATAATGCGTTTTGTTGTTACTGAGTTGTAGTTCTTTATATATTTTAGGTATTAATCCCTTATCAGATATATGATATGTAAATATTTTTCTTCATTTGTGGGTTGCTTTTTCACTCTCTTTTTTTTTTTTTTTAAACCAGGGATTAAGATCAGGGGCCTCAACCATTGAGCCACATCCCCAGCCCTATTTTGTATTTTATTAGAGACAGGGTCTCATCGAGTTGCTTAGCATGTTGTTGTTGCTGAGGCTGGCTTTGAACTCACAATCCTCCTGTCTAAGCCTCTGGAGCTGCTGGGATTCCAGGCATGTACCACTGCGCCCGGCTAGCTTTTTCACTCTTGATCAATATTCTTTGATGCACAAAATTTTAAAATTTTGTTGAAATCGAATTTATTTTTCTTCTGTTTCCTGTGCTTTTTTGTTAGATGCAAGAAATCATTGTCATGAAGACTTTCCCCAATAATTTGTTCTAACAGTTTTATGGTTCTAGAACTATATTTAGGTCTTTGATCCATTTTGTGTTAATTATTTTTGAGGCAGGGCTTTACTATTGCTGAGGCTGTTCTCTAATTTTTGTGCTCAAGCAATCTACTGCCTTAGCCTCCTGTGTAGTTGGAACTATACATGTACACCACCACACTCAGCTGAGTTAATTTTTGAATATGGTATAAGATAGGGTCCACATTCATTCTTTTGGATGTGAATATTCAGTTTGCCCAACACCATTTTTTGAACAGACTGGCCTTTCTTCTTTTTACATTGTCTTGGCAGACTTCTGTAAAATCAGTTGACCTTATAAGGACGATTTGTTTTGGAACTATATTTTGTTTTCTTGGTTTGTATGTCTCCTTATGCTCTTACCACTCTATTTTAATTGCTGTCACTTTGTTGCTTGAACAATATTCTTTTTACAACTGTTCCTATAGGGACAGGGGATGTTCTGATTGCTTTTGCACTAGGGCCTTCCTAAGGCAAATGAGGAGGAGAGAAGGAATTTTAGGAGTTTTAGCATATGAAGGATTTTTCTTTTAATTTCAGAGTATTTATTTGTATTTAAAGTAACTATAATTAGTATACTTAGTTTTTTTTCATTTGTCTCGATATGAATTATTTAGTAATATGTAGACAAGAATTTGCTAAGAGGTTATCTTTGATTTTTATGTGATACTGTTTTTTAGAAATTTTTAGTATTGGGAGTCTTTAAGAAGTATTTTGATAATCAGACAATAAACTGTTTTCTAAATTTTATTGATGGTTTTGGGCAAATATTGTGTAATCTAGGTTCCAGAAAATAGCTTTTAAAATGTGATGTTGAAATTCTGTAATTATCATGATGTCATCTTCATTTTCTTAGTTTTTTAAATACTTTCACTTAAAAGTAGATGAGGTTGGTCCAGTGAGGTTACCTGTCCTTTATGCTTGAGAGACTTTGTAACCTTCTATTTACTACAGTTTAAGGATCTTAATTCATTTAATTACTGTTTGCAGCATGCTTTGCACGACAAAGTGACCTATAGTAAATTCTAACAGTTTCTAGTTTTGTGAACAATATGCTTAAGAGAGATTGCTTACATAATAAAGTTAGGCATTTTTTGTCTTTTTGTGGCACTGGGTCAGTTAACCCAGAGTGTGGTATGTGCTAAGGAAGTGCTCTGGTGTTGAATTACCTCCCTCTTTTAAGTTTTATTTAAAATTGATCTTGCTAAGTTGCTCGGGCTGCTCTTGCTCTGACTTGTGATCCTCCTGCTTCAGCTGAGATGACAGGCATACATTAGTGTCCTTGGCTAAAGTTAGGCTTTCTAAGGCAGACTTTCTTTTGCCTTAAAAGTAGTAATTAATTTGTTAGTGATTTTTGTGTGTTGTATTTTGCAAAGTGCTTTGTAGGAAATTGAGGCCCAGGTAGGTTTTACTAACTTATTCAAGTTTATATTGCTAGTAAATTGCAAAGGACTTTGTATGTGATTCTAAAGCCTTTGTTCTTTCCACTGTACCATGTTTTGTTTTTGTGTATAATTTAGGTTGATAATTACTGTTTTTCAGGTGAAGAGGACAACTCTAGTGGACAGCAGAACATCGGTTACTGATGTGAAGTTTGCTCCTAAACATATGGGTCTTATGTTAGCAACCTGTTCAGCAGATGGTATAGTAAGAATATACGAGGCACCAGACGTTATGAATCTCAGCCAGTGGTCGCTACAGCATGAGATCTCATGTAAGCTAAGCTGTAGTTGTATTTCTTGGAACCCTTCAAGGTAAGCTTCTCCATCAAACCTCTGATAATATAATCCTAGTAAAACAGGATAGTAATTTTTTAAAAATATTTTTTAGTTGTAGATGGATACAATACCTTTTTACTTATTTATATTTCTTTATTTTTATGTGGTTCTGAGGAGTGAACCCAGCTCACATGTGCTAGGCACATGCTCTACCAGTGAGCCACAGCCTTACCCAGGCTAATAATTTTTAAGCTAATGATTTGATGGTTTATTTTTTTCAAAAATGCTTTTTTTAACTATGTGATCTTGAATTAAAATTTTCCCTTTTCTTCCCTGCCATGTCTTTCATCCCTGTGTTTTTACCCCACAGAGGATGCTAGCCATTGTAAATATTCTGAACTTTCTGGGCATTTTCTGAGTATATACAAATAAATATTTGGTGTATTGATAAACGCACAGATGTGCAGATGCATCCAGATGCACTGATGTAGTAGGCACACAACATGATAAGTACATCATGGGCATTTTCCCATCTACAAGTATATTAAGCTCTTTTATATCATTTCTTTTTAACTGCTATGTAGTGTGTAACCTTTTAAAAAATTGTAAGAATCACTTGGTAAAAAAATTTTTAAGTAATGTAGAGGAGTACAAAAGTTCCTTTGGCCTCTAAAAATAAATTGTTGAAGTTATGTTTTTAGACTTTAATCTTGGTGGTCATATTACATTATAAATGATTTACTTCTACCCAGTCTCCTGCTCTGTAGTCTTGCGACAGTATTCATGCTCACTTGTGAAAGATGAATGTAGCACCTTCATAAAACCTTCCACCTCCCACGATAAGACTAGTAAATATTAGATGTTTTATTTGTGGTAACGTTGGTAGTTGTTTTAGTTATGTTGGTAATTATTATCTCAAATTTGTATCTTTCCTTACTGATACATGAGTTTTTAGGTTATATATTGTTTTCACTTTTTAAAAATTTGTTCTTTTTTTTTTGGTACTAGGGATTGAACTCAGGGACACTCAACTATTGAGCCATATCCCCAGCCCTATTTTGTATTTTATTTAGAGACAGGGCCTCACTGAGTTGCTTAGTGCCTGGCCATTGCTGAGGCTGGCTTTGAGCCCGGATTATTTCTTTTTAGATATACATTATTGTTTTTTTTTCTTAAAAAATAAGTTAGTTTATTTTGCTTCTCCCTCACATTGATTCTTTATTTTCTAGTATTTATTATATTATTTATAACTGACAGGATTTATGATATTCTAACATATTATGTAAACATTTAATATATGTATGATTATTTTTTTCTTGGACTACTAGTTGATTCTAAAAATTAAATAGTAGCTAGATTTTCTTCGTTAGGTTATGTAAGTATTCATTGTAGATGCAAATGTAATATATTCAGTATAGATGCAGATGTAATAATCTGTTTCTTGAAAACTTTGTTGTTTATGCAAAATAATCTCATGTTAGGTTCTCAGGAATACTCTAATTTCCTACCATAACACTTTGTAGTATACTGTTATTTTTCTTACATTAGAAGACTTGATCTAATTACCTGAAGCTTTAGTAATGAAGAACTATGTTTTTTTTTTTTTCCCCTAATGACCACATTTTGCTTTTGGCTTGAAGAGGTTAACGATCACAATAGTGAGGTTAGAGGTTAAACAAGAGTATTACTGAGATATTGTTTAATTTGGTTGAGGGAGGCAAAAGAAATTGATACCTTACTGTAATTTGGTGTAAAAATGAAGAGTGTTTATAATTCACTTTAGTAGAGCCATTCTGATTACTCATCTTCTGCTTTTTTTAAAATGAAGTTGCCTACACACAAATTTTGAGGGGAGCCTGATATGGGAGCATGATTTCCAGGAGGTAGTCTTTCCTACTCTTCCTCCTTCTGCCTGAGTTTCTTCCTTTTGTACAAAGCATTTGGAACTTGGTGTCATCAGGTTCACCACAGTAGGTACCTCTTCATTGCATGTCTGCAGGAGGACAGACTGCTGAGGCATCTCAGGTATCTTTTTTAATCTGTTGAATGAAACTTTCTCTTTTGGGGAAAAAAGCTCATTTGTAAGCCATAGAAAATGTGTTTTTAGAAATAATTCAGTACAGCTTGACCCATCAGTCCCCTGTGTGACATCTTTAAACACACATATTGCAAGGTATGGTTGTGAGGTGAGTGGCAGGGAGCTGGAAGTCAGTAGGGCCAGACTGAAGTGCAGATGCTCAGCTGGTCTTGAGTTTGTGATTCTTGAATCCACTGTCCTGATGATGATGTGAAGTGTTTTTACTCTTCATTTCAGCTCCCGTGCTCATTCCCCAATGATTGCTGTAGGCAGCGATGACAGTAGTCCAAATGCAATGGCCAAGGTTCAGATTTTTGAGTACAATGAAAACACCAGGTCAGTACTGCTTTGATGTTAATTACTGTTCAGAGTTGCCTTTAATATTTAAGAGTATGTTTCCTTTATTCATTAACTGAATTAGGCCAACTTCTGTCCAGGATTTGATGATCTGGGGTTCATGAGGGGAAGGTAATTGTTCTCTCAGTATTTAGCATCTTGCAGGGAAAACAAATAATACTGAGAAAGAGGGCGAATTTTATGACCTAAGAGAATTAGAGTTTGAGCAGTTTATACCTGGGGAGCCCTAATCCAGTTTGGGGGCCAGGAAGGGTCATCTGCAGGCTGAGTATAGTCTGTCAGACAAGAAGGGCAGAATCCCTCCATGTGGAGAAGAGTGCAGGTAGGAAGGCCCAGGAACAGGAGTGAGCCAACATATCACAAAAGGCACAAGGGAGAAGTGGTAAGGAGGAGGAGGCAGGACACAGGTCTGCAGGACCTGCTGTCTAGGTTTCCAGAATCTTGTGGTCATGTGAATGGGAGTATCAGCATCGGAGTGTGGTGTACCTCTGCATAGGTGAGGGCAACATGAATGGATTCAGTAGTCCAGGGCGGGAATTTATAGTGGCTTTGTAGTACAGTAGTGGCCCTGGGACAGAAAGAAATGGCCTGTGTGAGAATAGTGGTATCAAGAGGATCAGGTGGCTGATTGAATGTAGGCAGGGAGAAGGGGAAAGGATCAGGATACTTTAATGTACATTATGAAATTTGAATACTATTGAGTAGTGTTGGCATCTTTTCTATTAGCACTGTTTTGCAAATGAAGAAACAGAGACCAGCAGTGTAAAACAACCAGTTTATAGGGAGTCAGATCAGAAACAAGGTCTTTTTTTGTTCATTACTTTGTTCATTCCCACTGAGACTCATTTGGTTTCTTTCTTTCTTTTTTTTTTTTAATTAACATTTATTTTTTTAGGTGTAGACAGAACACAATGTCTTTATTTTTATATGGTGCTGAGGATCAAACCTGGGTCCTGCCCGTACTAGGCAAGTGTTCTACCGCTGAGCCACAATCTCAGCCCTCATTTGGTTTCTTTAGATAGGAAAAATATTAGATAACCATTAATGAAGTATAGCTTATTTCAGGTCCATTAAACAACAGAATCATCAAAAGTCAGATTTTTGCAAGAACATTTTACAAGTACCAGGGACTGTACTAAGCCAAAGAAAATACAGTACAGTCCTGTATGTGTGGCGCTCAGAGCCTTTAGCATACAGATGAACATAGTGTAGTGCTGAAGATGTTGTGATGTTTGAAGCATGTGCCAGGGAGAGCAGAAAAGAAGGTCTTGTGAGCCTGAGAGAGGTAAAGTGGGAGGAATTGATGTTGAAGCCTCAGTTTTGAAAGATGGAAGGTGATCTGCAGACAGAGAAGGAAGTAGGAGCAAAGATCAGGAGCATGGCACAACACAGTGAGACATTATACTGCGAGTTCAGGGTGAAGAGGCATGGCAGCAGGCCAGGGCAAGCTTGGCCTCTTTCCTTTCAGTGTTCTGAAGGGTCCTGAAGAGTCACATGTATTTACCTTTTAGGAAGATGATCTTGGGAGCTATTTAGAAGAGAGACCAGGAGCCAGGGAAATTGAGGAATTAATGAAATAGCTCCATTGTGTTAAAGCATGAGAGTGTGTACTAAGGCAGTGGTGGAGAGGAGGGCCTAAGGAGACCCATCCAAGATGTGTAGTGACACTACTGAGTCCCTTTGAGCTCCAATGAGTTCTTCTGATGTGGCTGATAGTAGTGCCACCTGCTGAGATGGGCCTATGGGATGCGACATGAGGGGAGAGGCCATTCACTTCGGAAGTACTTAGTTTGAGGTGTCTTTGGGACATCCAGGTGGGAACATCTAAAGAACAAATGGGCATGAAAGCTAAGATAGTTACCTGTTGCTACACAGCAATTTCACAATCTTAGTAGTGTTTATGAGCTCATGGTTGCTTTGGCCCAGTTCAGGGAGGCTACACTTGGGAGCTCACTTGCTGTTGACAGTGTCCCTGTTTCTCCCTCATGGACCATTTCTGGGGTGGCTCACAGCATGGCAGATGCTTCTTCAAGGCGGCAAGGGGAGTCCTCTCACAAGACGGGCACTGTTAGCTTGTGTATGTGATCACACAAGTGTAATCCTGTTAATTTCCACATTCCTTCCCTTGGTTAAACATAAGTCATGGGCAGGTTTTGCCTGCACTTGTCGGGAGGAGGCTCCAAAAGCCAGACCACCTGAAAGTGGGGTCCTGGGCTCTTTAGAATCTGCCACAATGCTGGTGTCACTCCTACCTTAGGACTTCTTACTTAAGGTCACAGTATAGCCATGATTGAACAGGCTGGGATTTGGACATGGGCACTCTGACTTAATGTGTGTGCTCTTTAGTGCTATCCTTCCCTCTTATCTGGTCTTTGGCAGAAGGGACTGGATTGGAGGTGAGATGCACATGTGTGTGTGTGTGTAAATTTGAATATGAAAACGTATACACACATATGTTCATTCACATATATGTATATATGGGAATTGATTGGTATATGGGTAGTGAAGCTATGAGCATAGAAACTTTGCTGTCCAGGTAGGTCATCTGTGGATATTGTTAAAATACATGTTCTTGATTGCTTGGGCTTGTGGTGGTGCTGAGTATACATCTCTCAGAAGCTTCCAGGCAGCTGCGGACCACACAGTAGAGGCAAGCATATGGTGGAGACTGCTTAGGTTATTGTGTCTATAAAAAGAGGAGCTCAAAGAGAGGAACTATAGAGGTTTTTTAACTTGGTAGGTATTCTGAAAGGTGTCAGGGTGAGAAGGTTTAAGAATAGAAGGCAGGGAAGCACCGCTGTTTCGGAGGGTATGTAGAAAACTGACCTGCCAGCTCCTCACTGTTGTCCTTTATCTGTAGATAAATAGATTTGTAAGAGTGAACCAGACTTGGGCAGTTTCCTTTAGTCACCTTGTGAAAAACTTCAATTTCCATTGCTCCCAGCTTTATTATTATTATTTTTTTAATGTACACTCACGCATGTAGCTAATTCCTGGCCTGTTTCTTAAAAACTATATCAATGGTTCCTAAATCAAGACTTAATTTTAGTTAAATTTTTATTAAACTGTTTTAAGTTAAATTATCAAAGGAGTAAACCTGGGAGGTTACATTGGTTTCCTGGGGTTGCCATAACAAATTACCCCAAACTGAGTAACTTAGCCCAGCAGAATTGTTTGCTTATAGTTTTGGAGGCCAGACATCTGAAATCAAGCCATTGACAGGGCTGTACGTTGCCTGAAATCCGTTCTCCTTGGCATTTCTTGCGGCTCCAGGAGTTCTTGGCTTGTGGTGGTGTAACTCCAGTTTCTGCCTCTGTTCACTAGAGCCTTCTTTGCATCTCTGTTTCTCCTTTTGTCTTAGGAAAGGACAGTGAACACTGGATTCAGGGTCCACCTTAAATTCAGGATGAACTCATCCTGAGATCTTTAATTACACAGACCCTTTTTCTGAATAAGGCCAGTTCACAGGTTTGGGGTGTTAGGATTTGGTCCCTTTTTGGGGACTACTATTCAGCCCACTGCAGAGGTGAACATGCCTTGATTATGAGCAGAATGAAAAAAATTGAGGTACTTTGATGTGGAGTTTTGCAAATTTTATTTTCAGAAATTTTAATGTAAATTGTTTTTTTCATTAGGAAATACGCAAAAGCCGAAACTCTCATGACAGTTACTGATCCTGTACATGATATTGCGTTTGCTCCAAACTTGGGAAGATCTTTTCATATTCTAGCAATAGCAACCAAAGATGTCAGAATTTTTACATTAAAGCCTGTGAGGTGAGTTTTAGAAACAATTATGCATTTGAAAATACTCTTGCCCCCTAATTGTCTTTGGAAGAGAGAATTGTGGTAACTATGATCTGAAGATTGGTTCTTTAATGAACATTGTATATGTAACTATGTCACCTTTTGGGATGGGGAATTGAGTAAAGAGAGGAGACTTACATTCTCTTAACTGTTTTATTTAGGCTAATACTAACAATGAATTGGTACTCTAAATATAATTGGTACCCTACAAAATGTTCCAAAGATGAGAAGTGGCCATCTACTTAGGAAAAACTAAATTAGCATTGAGATTGAGACATTTTGCAAATAATCTCGCTAGTTTTAATTTTGAAATGTGAGTTTTAGTTCTTTTTCTTTTCATTCTTCCCTTCTTGCTTTTCTTCCTTTTTCAGCTAATTATTACCAAGCATTTGATTCCTCAGCCTTATTTGGGGTAATAATATCCTTATTTATCTCTGAGTATCATTTATGGGCTGGGATCACTCTGGGTCCTGTGGGGGAATCAAATGAAAATGGCACCAGCAGCCTGGTGCAGTGAGTGTGGTGTAATTCCAGAAATTGGGAGACTGAGGCAAGATGAGTGAGTCCCTTTCTCAAAACAGGAAATAACAAAGGCTTTGGGCTGTGGCTCAGTAATAAAGTGTCATGGATTCAATCCAAGTACCAAAAAAAAGATGGCCACACTTGACCAGCTCAAGGGCTTGGGGTGGGAGAGTATAAAGATAGGCAAATTACTATAAAATTATGTGGTAAATAAAGTACATGAGATCATTTGTCTTTCTTATTTAGGACAGTACAAATAATTTATCATTAAATTTAAAAACTTCCTTCAGAATTCCTCAGAAAAAATTTTTCCCCCTAATTAACAGGAAAGAACTTACTTCCTCTGGTGGGCCAACAAAATTTGAAATCCACATAGTGGCTCAGTTTGATAATCATAATTCTCAGGTCTGGCGAGTAAGTTGGAATATAACTGGAACAGTGCTGGCCTCTTCAGGAGATGATGGCTGTGTAAGACTGTGGAAAGGTAGGAAAAGTTCCATGGAGGGGTAATTATTGCTTTATATTTTGCTTTTAGAATTTTCATTGAGGAATGTAAATTCTGAAATATTTTGAAAAGAATTACCTTTTATAGCAACTTTAAAATCAGTATCTTATTACTTAGTTCACAGTACTTAATGACTGACGGAATTGTTTCTTTATATAACATGGCAACTTTTAAAAATAATTGTAACAGTATGTTGTATCATCAATAAACAGATACCATTTACTACATACATAACTTGTGTGGCTCTTCTACAAACTTGGGATAGGACTGAAATCATCTGTTACTATATAATTTTATTAGACAACCAGTCCTTAAATCTAGTGTCCTCTCCACTTCCTTTCTTGGGACTCTGATTCTTTTTTTTTTTTTTTTTTAGTTGTCAGTGGACTTTTATTTATTTATATGTAGTGCTGAGAATCCAACCCAGTGCCTAACACTCATGCTAGGCAAGCACTCTACCACTGAGCTACAACCCCAGTCCTGGTACTCTGATTCTTAGTTTCTTATTTGTAGCATTCTAAGAGGGAGCTAGGTCTGGGTGGTTGACAAGACTTGTCTCTGTAGCTTGGTTCTGCACTTTTCCACGATTGTTTATCCAGCAGGAGGAAAGTCTGTGGTTTGTACACCACGATGGTGGGCAGCATGCTGTACTTGGCATAACCATATTGTGTCACTTACACTGAGTGGCCACTGTTTCCTGAAGTGCAGTCTGGCTAAACCTTGGGCCTCCTGTGGCAGAAATAGCCCAGATTTTCCTTTCCTCAGTGTCATTTGATTTTAAAAGAACTGTGCTGTCATTTTTCCTCTGGGCCTTAGTCAGGACTCTGCAGCCTCACTTGAATTTTCTGGGCTTTTTGACTGTAGGGCCATGTTGGATAAGCCAGTCCAACCTACAGTCAAAGGTTTTGCTGCTCACATCCATCTGTGAAGATGGCAGGTCCCCACATAACCAAGAAGATATCTTCATTACCTTATGCAGATTCGTTATAGCAGAGATGGAGATTTTATTGTGATATTAACTTCATAACATGATAATGTGGTAAAAAACAAAACAAAATAGAAAATGGGCTGGGGTGTAACTTGGTGGTAGAGCACTTGCTTGGCATGCTTGAGGCCCTGGGTTCCATTCCCAGAACCTAAAACAAAAGGTCTTTAATACTTACCTGGAAAGAAATGTAGCCCACGGTTTCTGTCTCATTTCTTTAATTACCGTTTGAGGACATGAATCTGGATTTATGCTACTGTGCACAGGTTTCACTCATGTTGATGTCTTTGACCGTTTTTCTTTTAGCTAATTATATGGACAACTGGAAGTGCACTGGCATCTTGAAAGGTAATGGGAGCCCAGTCAATGGGAGTTCTCAGCAAGGAAACTCAAACCCTTCCCTAGGTTCAAATATTCCAAGTCTTCAAAACTCATTAAATGGATCTTCTGCTAGCAGGTAGGCTGTTCTGTGGGAAAAATCAGAAGTTGTCTTCTTTTTAAAATCATTTTGGTCATCACACTAAAGGCATGCTGTTTTATGAATTTTAGGATGAATGAGAAAATGTACAAATTATTAGTGTTAGAATTTAAAAATTGACGTTGTTAGCTCTGAATTTGGCTTACTTGGTCATAATTTTTATAGGTAGTTTGGGAGTCCATTAAACTAAACTATATTCTGAATTGAATGGTCTGTCAGGAGAAATGTTTGTAGCTTTCATATTCTACCTTGCCTCTGCAGCAGTGAGAGGAAGAATAAATAGTTTAATAGTGAGGGTTTTAGTTCTGGATAAGCACTGTTTTTTTAGTGCTTAGAGCATATAGTTTCTGCTTTTGCATTAGGTCAAACAAATTTTGAATAAAATGCATTAAGGCTTTGTAAAAGAGAGTGAGTTAAATGATTTGGCGTTTGTGTTTAAAACTTTAAAGTAGATTATAAAAGGAAATGATAACACCCCAGGTCTTGAATTTTTAGAATATTTAGCATATTATTAGATTCTTGCTTCTCGTAATAAAGAACCTTTAGAACAAAAGAAAACTTGATGTAACCCTAAGAATCATTTTGTTTTCATATTCAAATTTCAAATATGTGACTTTATAAGAAAGTTATTGTAAATATACCCTTTTGGATAATTTGAAATGGAGTTTAGGAAACGTCAAAACTAAGTCTTCACAAACTGATTTGTGCTGTCATTGTGCCATAGCTTGGTTCTGCACATTATCCTTATTGTCATCCTAGATCCTAAATAAAAGAAGAAAATTGTATTTAAAGTTTCTTCAAGTATTATTATGTTGTTATATTTTTATAAAGAAGTCATGAGTATGAGGCCCTGGTTTGATCCCCAGCACTGCAGAAGAAAAAGGAAACAAAGCAAAACAACAACAAAACAAACAAACAAACAAAAAACAGGAAAAAGAAAGTCTTGCTACTTGATTCTGAGATTTTTAGTTTTACATCTATTAAAACAATTTAAGGTTACCACATAAGATGGCAGATTATAAAGATGAGTTCATGAAGCAAAGAATACTAGAGTGTGTATTTTAAATCTGGCTTTAGGAGGCTGCCTGTACTGCCCGTTTTCTTTCGTACATAGCTTTGACGTGTTTGATCTGTGTTCTTATTGTGCCAATACCCATCTGTGTTAGATCTGTGATGCATTTTCCCTTCTCCATTTGCATTATGTCCTTTAACAGAAAGCACAGCTGAGTACAAGCTAACTGGAGTAACTCTGCTGTTTTGCTGCTTGTTGCATGCACACAGGAATGGGACGCCAGCTCCTTTCCCCCTTCCCCAGCGCCGTTTGACCTCTCCCAGGACACACCAGCAGCCTGCTTACTACTAAACGCAGCCCCAAAGGCCTTTAGAAATGCAGTTAATATCTTTTTTTTTGTATAGTCAGTTTATTGACACTATTTGAAACTCTTGAGATTTAAATGGAGAGGCTTTTTGTTGAGACATTGACACCAAAACAATTTTTTGAAATGTTGCTGAAACTCAGTTGGATTTGAAAATTAAAAGGATTGTTAAATCCTTATAACTGGTTGGGAGGAGGAAAGATACCATTTTATTCCATTTGGAGAATATAGATATATTTCTTTTGTTTTCTAAATAAGCTAAACATGATGAATTTTTATAATTTTAATTCGAAGATTGAATAAATATTTTTCATAAAGATTGTTTTGAGTGCTAATTTGTTTACCTTTTGTAGAATTGCTTTATAAATGATATTATTTCATACAACTGTCATTCCTTTGTAATATTTAAAAAGTAGTAGTAAATGAGGAAATTAGCAAAGTAGTATTAGTAAGATGAAAGTAATTTGACTGTACAGTTTGTAGCCAAGTGGAGTGTTTGGTATTGTTTCATTCATAATTTGGTGGAAAATGGAAACAGCTTTATATGTTTCCAATTCATATTCACTAAAGACTTAAATGTTTCTGATATGTGCATGTATATTTTTGTGATGTGATTTCATGGCTTAAAGTTTCCTTCAAGACACAATTTGGAAATATAATCAGTTACAGTTTTGCTAAAAGTGTGCATGCAAATTAACTTACAAATCCCATGTCTCAGGACTTCCTTTAGTTTGCTGTTTCAGTGTGTTCATATCCTCTAAGGCTCTGATCTTGATGACATAGCTATAAATCTTTACATTTGCTAAAATGCATAAGTATTACGGGTAAGTTATACAGTGGCGCAATAATGATAATAGGGCATAATAATTCTTTGAGTCCTTTTACATATCAAAATTCTGTAGCTATTTTAAGGTTTTTGCAGAAAAATAAGTATATTTAATGATTGTATTTCTTCAAAAGTATGTTGCAGTAGCCAGAAATACAATGTGAAAGTGTATTCAAATTGGTTTTCAGTATCATGTATGCACTAAAAAAACGTGTGCCTGCTGCTGCTACAGATGGAGCACTGCTCTCAGCGAGAAAGCACATTAGATTGCCAATTTACAGAATGGCATCAGACATATTTCTGAGAGGTTAGACAACGTTTTAAATTTATAAAATTACTGTCTTTGTAACATTCATACTGATAATTTCTTTGATATTTTAACAGATTGTATTTCTTCCCTTCAAGTTTCTATACTTGCTTAAGCAGTCTTGATTTGAGTAAGGGTCTTGGTTTGTGCTATTATGTTCTGTTAGTTTGGCATGAATATACTAAAGCTTTTTTTTCCAGCATGTGTTTTCTCCTCTTTGGTTCTCTTTGTATTTACTACTTTTCTCTTTTTCTTCTGTTTTGTTTTTTTCTTTTCTTTTTTTTTTTTTTTTCCTGTTTTGTTTTGTTTTGTTTTGGTGTTTTGTTCCTGTCTCCGTTGTTTCAGGTATTTCTTTCCCCCTCTGGATTCCCCACGGGCTGGATCGAGATGGTCCAGTTATGCCCAGCTCCTTCCTCCTCCTCCTCCTCCTCCTCCTCTGCTAGAGCCCTCTTGCGATGCTGACACTGCCAACCTCCAGTATCCTCACCCTCGCAGACGATCTCTCTCTCGGCCTCTTAATCCCTTACCTGAGAATGAAGGGGTTTAAAACACTGACTTAATATTTAAAGGCCTTATTCAAATGCTTGTAAATGCTTTCATTCCTGGCTGCTTTTTGTTTTTCTTCTTTTTCTTTCAGAAGACTTTTCTTATTTAGGGTCTGTCTTGCATGTATCACAACCAGAACACAGTGTTTGGAACCTAAACCTGTTTGTGAGTCTGCATCAAAGGAACATTGGCTTCACTGGTTGATAACCTTTGATGAAATGTGTACAAATAACATCAACTGTGAAAATTACACAGTAGCTGACTTCCAAGTGCCTGTTTTGTAAATTTTATTTTGAATTGTTATCATAGTCTTAAATTCTGCTTTGTCATACTGGTTAATGTGAAAACATCATTATGGAATTCATTCTGCCTTTGAGACATATTAAGAAATGTTTTTAATTTTTACAGGCTAAATGTTGTGACTAATGTGTAAAATAAATCATTCCTGTGTATAAAGCAGCAAAACAATATGGATATTTTGTCTTTTTTTTTTTTTTTTTTTAAGGAAATTGTCTTTCACTACTTGGAATTTCTATTTAAAGCCTCTGTAATTATTATCCAAGTAGTTATTTAATAAAATCTATTTTAAAAGACATGAATCTGTTGCCTTATAAAAATAGAAAGTAATTTACTTAAGATTGTTCATACGACTTACTCTCCTTCTACCACGTCACAGAAACCAAAAAATCCAAACAAAAGGAAAATAAAGGGATTAGGATGCCAACATGAAAATTAAATCTAGAACTGAGAGATGTTGATTATCACTAACTTGGTTATTCAACATTGGAATAGATTATTTTCTAAAATATTTTTAAGTTAGAGATTAGAATATATACTTGATAATATGGTGAAGTGATTAAAACTATGAGGCTAGTAATATTCTTATAGGTTCACATTTCTTAGGATCTGGCAAGAATTTAACCTTCAGGGCTAAAAGGAGATGTATTTTGAATAGTATTTCAAATATGGCTAAGTTGCTGACCCTGGCCTTTAACTTGCAGTCCTCTTGCCTCAACTCTCTAAGTTACTGAGATTACCGGCATGTGCCACTGCATCCAGCCTCATAGTTTTTTTTTAATATTTTTATTTTTTAGTTGTAGTTGGACACAATACCTTTATTTTATTTATTTTTATGTGGTGCTGAGGATCGAACCCAGTGTCTCATATGTGCTAGTCGAGCGCTCTGCCGCTGAGCCCCAGCCTCATAGGTTTTTAACGTTCATAGGATAGAGAGCAGATAGAATATATACTACATTTAGTTTAAGGAATATATGAATTTTGTTTTTAATTAAGATGTTTTGTCTGTAAAGTTAGCATTCCAGTGTAAAAAGAAATCCTTTTCAAATAATTCTTGATGGTTTTCCTTTTGTTAAAGGACTTTTAAGATTATGTCGGATCAAAGCAAAGACTCCAATTTAATGATGGATCTAGCTCAGAATTAATAATTCATGTCTTTGAGGTTTCCATCATTTTGGAGTTAACTGGGGTTGGAGTGACAAAGAGTTGAGACCATTCTCCAATTTAGTGAATACTGGGCACTTACTATGTGCAAAACACCATATAAGAAATAGAAAAGTAGTCGGCATACATTCTGGTGGGAGAAGGCATTTCCAGTTTACAAAAGGAAATGGGTTCTGCTTTGTAAGAAAGGTAGAAACTGTATAGTTGGCATAAAAACCATTTACTTAACTGAGCTGGCAAGATTTGGAAGGGATGTGGGATTTCAACAGGTGGAGTTGAGGTGGAGGAAGGTGAAACAGGGTAAAGTGCTTAGGAAATAGGTAAAAGTCTGATGGAAGACCAGAGAACATTTAGGGAGCCAATGGGAGATTAATCTGGAATCATTCTTTGTGGAAGGTTTTGAATATTTGTGGCTGAGGCGTAACATTTAGAGCACTTGGTAAAGAAGCTATGGGAGATGTTTGACTTTGAGGCATCCATGACTATAGGGCGGGCCTGTGTTGGCTCTACTAAATGTCTAAGGAGATTTGGAGTCAAGAGTTCTATTCCTCCTTTTCAGTGGGCAAGAAGGTTAGATATTGAGGTGTAAGATGATGGCTAATGTTTGTTGAGTACGGTTGTGTACCAATTCTTTTCTAGATGCTTTACATGAGTTAACTGCTTTATATCCTCACAGCAAGCCTCTGGGGCCAGTCATCTAAATATGCTTTTACAGATGAGAAAACTGGGCTTATTGCTACTCATCCAAGGTACAAAGCTAGGATGAAACAAGGGAGAGCCAGCACTCAGATGTAGGTAGCTTGGCTTTACTGCCTGCAGATCTCTTTGTCACTAGAAAATCATGAATATAGCAAAGTGACCAAGAAGTGGTAAACAAATGACCAAGTCTGGAAAACACTGTCATAAAATTCATACCATCAATAGAGAACCTACAAGTTTACGTTGGCCCTTGGTTCAACTTGACCCTGATCACAGTACTCAGGAGATCCTACTGGGTCTGGAGGGTTTTAAGAGGAGAGATCAAGAGAGGTGCAAAGAGGCCATAAAGCAGAATAATGGAAGGTGTGTGTATGTATAGAGAGGAGCAGCATTTTTCATAGAGAAGGGAACCAGTAGAAAGGGTAAACAGGATTAATAACTGGGCAGTTTTTTGTTTTTTTTTTTTTGAGGAAACAAATTAATCAAATGAATGGGTCAAGTTTAAACCAAGTTTAAATTCAACTCGGTGTTTTCCCCCTCTTCATTCCTCCCAAGTGCATCTTTAAAAAATATCCAGTAACTGCTGAATGAAGTTAAGGAATTAGCTTTGGGAAAGAGGGACCTCTTTCACCTGACACTATATGGAAGAAATTTTGAGGTAAAGGACTGTATGAAAACTTTGTGCGATAAATTTTGAATGAAAGGTACGCAAGACCTTTTTGGTCTGAATGACTGAAAGCAGACTGCCACATTTCAGCGCTTGCCAAGAGGTGGTAGGAAAGGTCCGCGGCTGCTAAGGACGGGAGGATATCATTCGCGGGGGCGAAAGCCAGTGTCCTGGGGTCCCAAAGTGAACGCGGTGAGCTCCGCTTCCAAGCACGCCAGGGCGTCAGGGGCGGCACCCCAACTCCGCTACCCGGCGGCCGTGGCCGCGCAGCTTCAAACCCAGGGCGCGCGGGCCCCTCCAATCAGCGGCTCCAGCCGCTCTATCACCCCGCACCACCCAATCCACGGCCGGCTCTGCGCCCCCGCCCTTCGCCTTCTGACTCGAACTGACGTAAACCCGAAGGCCCTCGGTAAGGCCGGCTGGGGGCGGTACGCACATGCGCACGCGCACTGGCGGTGCCGCCGGACGCGCCTTCCCTCCGTGGGCGTCTTTGCAGCAGTGTCTGCTCCCGAAGCCTTGCGGGTGGACTGGGTGAGTAGGGGCGGTGTCTCGCGTGCACCCACGCCCGGGGCGGCAGCTCGATTCGGGGCTGGGGGGTGGCGACGGTTGGCCCGGAGGCGGGAGGGCCGCGGCCCCCGGGCTGTTCGGGCCCTGCGAGGCCACTGCGGGCGGGCGAGCGGGGCTCTGGGCCTTGCGGTAGGCTTCTGGTGGGTGGCGCCCTTGCTTCCCCACCCCTCGTTTGGTGTCTGGTAACTGCGGAGGGACAGACGCCTTGTTCTGGAGTTGCCTGCAGGGCCTCTGCCTTCGTGGGCATTGTGGTGACGGTTCTGGCTTCTTTCTGTCTAAACTGACCCGGGTGGTAACATCGTTCACGTCTAGGGTTCTGTTGGTATACCCAGTCACTCAGTCACTCCCTTAGGCTTCTGTGTTCACCTTCATTCCTAAAACCTTCCATTTCTTACCTATGATTTTCTTAGGAACAGAACGTTGAATTAAATAATGTTTAATATCAATGTGTTTTTGCGTTGCTCTTCATTTCAGACTTTGTTTAGTAAAGCATGAGGTTCCTCTCCTTGCTGTCGTTTGGAGGACAGCTGTGTATATGACAGTGTTTCCATCTGTGGTTACCACTTTGAAGTCATTCTACTGGAGTTTTATCTGCTGGAAAATCAACTTTTTCTCCAAATTTCAATATTACTGGCGAAGTTTGAGGTAAGCTTTGAAAAGTAACATATTCAATGTTTAGCTAATTCTGAATTTTATCTTCAAGGTGCCAAGAGTAAATGATGAATGTTGGGAAGTTTGACTAGGTTTTGGGTTCCACAGCATGCACTTTTAAACATATTTAATTGGATATGTTGATCTACAGCTAAGGACTGCAGAAAATAACCTTTTATGTATCCAGAAATATTATTAAACTGATTTAATGCTAGTAAAGCCATATGTGAAATGGTGAAGATGGCTACTTGTTTAAAATATTGCAGAGGAAAAGATATCAGTGTGTTCACTTTAAATGGTGGAGGAAGTGTGAATAATGCAATGCAGAGGGAAGTTAGGGAATTTTTCCCTCTAGGAAAGCTTTAGGAATGTGGGTTTGTTCATGAAGGGTCTAGAACAGTATAATCCTTTCTGGAAACAAGACAGACAGGTACTAGATTACATCTTGAGGAATTTCTTAATGGGTTGTGTTTCCATAGCAAATCTCTGCTGAAGCACTTAGCTGTCTATTCTTTGACAGGGATTATCAGCTCCCTAAGGAGGCCACCATATTTATTTTTGCATTCCTGATTCCAAGTACAGTGGTTTTTGCTTGATAATGATTGTTGCATGTGTGATCTTTGAGTAATAACAGAAGCTTCCTTGGATTTGACCCCTTCTATGTAGGGATAACCATTGAAGAGTTCTGTGTGTGTGTGTGTGTGTGTGTATATATATATATATTTTTTTTTTTAAATAACTTTATTTATTTTTGTATGTGGTGCTGAGAATCAAACCCAGTGCGTCACATGTGCTCGCCAAGTGCTGTACCACTGAGCCACAATCCCAGCCCTCACTATATATTTTAAGTAGTTTGTATGTTTAGAAATGAATGAATATCTTAGTAATTATAAAACTGGACTTGGGCATGCTACTTTTGGGAGTCTTATGCAATAATTTTGAAGTAAGAAGTAGCAAGCATGGGGAATGTAGCAGTGGGCCTCAGCTTCAGAGATGTATTTGAAGTTAGAACTATTATAAACTGATAACTCATTGAGAGCAGGAGAGATCAGAATGGTCCTAGGTGTCTTGGTAATAGGCAGTGAATAAGGATGACATCAAGACTGAAGATAACTGGAGGGGTTGGTGGAGGAAAGGTACTAGTTTGGTTTTGTATTTGTTGGCTTTGCATTACCTGAGGGACATTCAGGGATAAGGTATAGTTGTCAAAGAGCCATTTGGAAACAGGATCTAGATCTCAGGATATAGGTCCTGGCTGAAGGTGATTTGAAGATGAGGGAGGTGGCATTAATATGGAAGAAAGAACACTCTAGGACCAGACTTACTTAGTGGGAATCCCCCTGCTGTCTCACTTGCATCCTATAACTTGGAAAAGTATCTAGATTCTCTCTCTTGTTTCCTTGATAGTAGGGATAATGGCTACTTTATAAACTTGACAAAAGGATTAGGAAAATTATAAAATATTAAGCACATAATTTGATAATAAAGTAGACATGGAATATCAACTTGTATTCCCAGCTTGTATATTAGATTCTGGAAATATATTTGAA